AGGTAATTTGCCGTTTATGCTGTGACTTAAGCTCTAAGCAAACCTCTCGTATGCCTCCTGCTGTATCTGTGCTTGTTAAATGAGTTGTGAGGCAGAAGAGTCTGTTTGAGATAATTGTTTGGAAGATTGTACCAACTAAGCAAAGGTGTAGAGCGTTGAAATCAATCCAAATTACTTCTGAAGCAGTGCCAGAGACCTTACTTTGGGTAGTACTTGCCATTTGTATGCATTCCTCGTTTAAGAACTTTCAAATAGTTAACTGTTGTGATTATCGAAAGGATATTCCCTCCTTAATTGAAAACGCCTTTGTAAATTCTCCTGAGAAGTTCAAACAACATTGCTTTGAGGTGGACTTGGTTTTCTCAAAGATTGTCGCTTCGGTGGCATTCGCACCCCTTTAAAATTTTCCTCACGTAACAATTTAAAACTTCTTTCCCGTCGATGGGGTCTATTACAGCTCTGGAGGAGACGAGATCTGCTTACTCAACGCCACACATCTTGTAAGCATTAAGAAAACTTTTTCTAAAAAGAGGGCGAAATCAGTGAGGAATTTAAGTTTGTTTCTCTTAAGCATCAACCCCTGTCAGTTCCCCTGCTCTATTGTGTTGCGCCCACATTCACCTTCAATGTCTGGCAGCCGGATCTGGTGGGGTCCACGTCCTTGTGAATCCTTCTTCTCGACGTTGGCCCTGTCGGGCGTGAGGACGACATCGACATTAGATACAATTCATTACGAAAACCTAACTGAAATGCACCTGTCAAAGGAGTTGGCGACTGGTGTAGCCCGTGACAAGTCCAGTCTAGACATAGCATTTCGCTGCAACTCCTCTGACAACAGAGTTTCTTGAAGGGCAGTCGATTCGTGACCTCTGCTAGTCTTTCGTTTCCAAAATGTTACCTCGATTTGATGATTGTAGACGTTCCTCACCACGTCGGTCGTTCTTCATTTGGGACGAGGGAAGTGTTTGAAGTTAGGTGAACAGGGGTGAAGAGTCAAACCCACATTTAAAGTTGTATTAAACTAGTGTCATGGCGGACCACTCCCTGTGTTCCTTCAGCACAAACTTATTCACGCAAACACGGCTTCAGGAAGGTTGCGAAGTCTCCAAAGCGCAGATCTGCGCCTTAGCAACCGAAATATTACAGTCGGAAATTATCTTTACCTTTTCTTGACTTCTGCGCGACCTTCGGTGCTTCCATCGAGTTCTCCAGGTGCGGTCCCACGCCAGTGGCTCACATCGACTGTGGTGGGGGCTCGAGGGATCGCTCTTGCCTTCAAATCCACTTTATTTCAATGAGTTAAGTGTACGAAAGTTGTTTCAGCTTTCAAATTCTGTCAGGCGGAAAGTAGACTCCAAAGCTCAAAAGCGATATTAAATTTGGGATTAAGTTTTGTTTTCCTTTGTGTTAGAGAGTTGAGCCTTATTGTTGTCGAGTGGCGTATATTTTTTTATGAGGGAACTCTCGGTAAAACTTTTACAACCGATTGAAGTCGTAGTGATGTGCTTCCGTTTTTCTCAAGACAACAAAAAAGTCTTCTGGCAAAGGAGTGGAAAGTTCTGCTACGGTGCTTTGCTCACTTCACCACCAGAGAGAGTGCAATCACTAGACACCGTGGATAAAAAGAGGCAGGAAATTTACATGCGATGTTTAAAAGCACTTATCATTGACACAAGACCCGAAAAGTGGATCTTAACCGCCTAAAAATTAGCATACTCCTTTGGAGTAGGAAGAGAGACTTTGATTAATTCACCCTTTACCCACAGTTTGCTGTTGTTGTTGTTGTTGCTGGTGGTGACGGTGGGGGTGGTGTTTGCTTGCGTTCTTTTGCTCTCTCTTCAATTAATGACCACAAGGCCGTTTAATGCCGACTCTTTCAGCAGAATGGCATTCAATACCAGTGGAAAAGCGGAAAAAAAAGGCATTCCATTTGCGTCAAGATGAGGTACAATAATAGGCCCTTGCATGTGTGCCCACAAGTGTCAATCCTACGCCCTCTTTTATTGCCATCATGATTTCTGGTGGAGTGGAGGACGTTTGGAGGGTAAGAGGTGACTTAGAGGTGGGATTCGATGGCGATAGCATTAACCGAAGCGTCTTTAAAGACACCGTCGAGCTGACTTTCCAAGGGCCCTTCAGCCCAATGGTCTGCAGTTGATGGTGACGTGGATGTGAACAAATAAATTAAAGTAGTAGATGCCTCCCTTTTCTGCCTCTACTGTCATTCCCTTGAGAACCTTTCTTGTTATAAATGTAGATGTAGGGAGCGATTTTTGGGTCTGTTTGCTCTTCTAGAGCCTCTCTGTGTTTACCGATTGTTTCTCGAGTGAAGAGCAGTCATTAGGTTCCACAACACCCATTTCATGGTGCAAAACACTCCAAGTTGTGTGTCACAAGCAGATGGACTGGGAATAGCTGGATAGCAAAGATTTGCATTTGTTACAACCTTGACCCTCAAAATTGTTGAGTGAAGTAAGTCTTCTGTGAAATTTAGTTGATAACGATGTGTTAAGGCCGTTCTAATGAGCACAGAAAACTGGTTGTCATTGCAGCTAAGTAGAAGAATTTACTCCTCTCACGAGTTGCAGCGCACTTCTCTCTTTCGGCCACAAAATTGACATAGAATTCAGAAAGATGTCCTCACCAATTGGAATGGAATTCTCGATCTCCGTTAGTGGAAATTGGAAAGTCACGACGCTTGCTGCAGATCATCACAACATTCAAGGATGGCAGAAATCATGGCATCAATTAGGACTTGTTGAACATTTTGAACCTCGGAAGGCCCGACGTTACCACTAACGCAGCAGACACAGTCGACCATCTTCTTTGTGACTCACTCTGGTCTCCGACTCCACTTTCCCAGGCTATTCAAATTGTCAAACACCGCACTTCTGTCCTTAATGCTCTTGTATGTACCATCTTACTGAATGTTTCACCTTTGGGTGAGAAACCTCATTCCCCTTTCCAAATCGTAGCCGAGTACTCTGTCGTGGACTTTATAGTCAGACAGTTGTGGGAATGATTTTGATTGTGTGACGGATGGTGGTCAGCTTGTCACCTGAACGCATCACCAAACGTGTGTTGCAGTACTTCGCTGTTTCATTCCCCTTCGCTGTTCCCCTTTGCATTAGCCGTCATCACAGGATTTTAAAGTCTCTCAGGCCCGGTGTGTACCTCTAAGGCAATTGGTTGCCTGGAGAAATTAGACTACGAAACAACCCTTGTGTAAGCTGTGTGACTATCTCCACTCCAAACAATTGCTCTCGTTCCAGAGGTCAAGGTCAACCGCCTTTTCTGGCAAATAGAAGTAGGTCACTTAGCACAATTCAATAAAAGAAGGAGAAAATTGAAAGCAGGCTGCTCTGAAAGTCTTTACACCGATCCATGGGTTGTTTGAGGACGTACCGCCCAAAGTGAATGCCGCGATTGGCCAATGCCTCCTCATTAACTGGCAGAGCATGTGTCGGTATAAAGTCGACAGGGCGGGGATCAAGGCCCTTCATGATAGTTGGCCCTTCTTACCCACCCAAGTCTAGGCCATTCCGGTGCAATCGTAAATGGGCAGATAGGTAAAGTCATGCTGTCATGTATTTTGATGCTTAAGGTACTTTAAAGTCCTCGAGACGAGTCTCTATTTTTTATATGTCCAAAAATCGACACGTTTTGTACGGCCTGCAAGCGCCTGGCCAAGTTGAATGCATCTATCGCTCATGACTTACGTTTCTTACGATCAGGCAAAGTCTGCTCTCAGGTCTTATGTCTTTAGCTGTTCCATAAATAGAGTGATTTGTGTCAAAAACGTGAGAAGCATGACTGACTTAGCTGCCCAATATAGTTAAATTTTTTTGATTTTGCGGAATGATTTCCAAACGGTGAAGGAGTGGTTTAAAATGTTATTGATGTCCATTGGTAGCTTCTCTTGGTCTCATTTATGACCTGTTACGTGACAGGTTGGTTGGTCGTTCAACTACTTAGGCTCTTCCATCTCCGTAGTCTGTGCAGTCACTACCGTTCTGACTTTTAAGGGGGAGGGGCGTCCTAATAGGTGCAACTACTTATCAAGTTAGTTAGTAGTATCTATCTCTCATCCTGCTTCAAATAAGCTAGCTTAAAGGCTAGCTTTTTAAAAAAGGCTACGTTATTAAGGGGAACATAAATTCGTTTAAATGGATGCGCTTCTGCGCCAGTTTTTTCCCAGCGTTCACCAATGTGTACACTGGCTATTAAGCGCATGATCAAATATTTCATAATTTCCACTATTTGCCTCGATTTTTTATCTGACACCTCCTCTCATAGTGAATGCAATAGCTTTACTCAACATGTCGCTGTTTTGGTGTCTAAATGGAGGAAAGGATGAGTTAGTGGCTTTAGAGGCTTTGGAACGGTGATGGAACAGAACTTGAGTAGATGGACGACTTGGAGGAGACCTATTTGGTCACAGCTACCCCATGGATAGCTTCGTGTGCATGAATTAACGTGTCTTCTTTAGCACAACCGTATTACAGAAATCGGGTGATTGGGTGATCGAATTACACTAGCATCAGACCACAGTTCGATGATTCGTTGGGAACTTGTGGCAGCACAACCCGATCCCATCGATGGAAAGTTTGGAAGGCTGCGGATAGTGTGAACGCTTCCCACAAGATGACTTTCCACTTCTTGGCGGCTGCAGATCTCTTGATCTATTCGGAGATAGGTCTCATACTTACGTGGAGGCGAGCGCCTAACAAGAGAAAGTTTAGTCTTTCCGCCTTCTGGCAACTCGATGACAGTCTGGTAAAACTGAGGCTCTGATCTTCTGCCATACAGACGGCCATTTGGTTTGGGGAGGGTGGGAGAAAGTTATGCTTGGTATAATCCCGCCCTGCGCCGGTGCACCTGCCTCGGCAGCTATCTGATGCCTCGAGATTAAGGGATTTGAAAGCACAATTAACAGTGAATGATGATCTTGAGGCTTATACTTTAATGCAAACTAAATGACCATCATTATCACTAATTTTTTATGTCACAGCTTGAAATTTTTGAGGATGCATCATGTTGCCATCGTCAGAGAAGTGAATGGTGTCACTTGACAGTTGGTCTACCAGCAAGTGATTATAGCCACCCACCGTGCCCTCCGCTCCTCTTCTCGGACCACCCAGTGCCTTGACATCAGCCGCCAAACCTAAACTCCGCGTTTTGGTGGAATCCAGTCCTTCATCCTGCCGTTGTACAATATGTTCAATGTGTTGCTCTAGCAAATGGCACGTCTCAGTTTCTGCCATTGTGTGCAAATGACCCGATAGGGTCACATACAGCACCAACCAATAAACAATGAAAGAAGAGGCAAAATTTTTCCACTTTTTTTCAGTAAGAACTGAGTTAATCTTTTGTGTAGATGAGTAAGGAAACTGAAACTTGCAGCTCAACCAACACTCACGCTTCATCCAAAGGCAGACTGTGAATTGACAAGAACTTTCAAGAAAAAACTCCCAGCTTTGATCCTCTAAATTACGAGGGTTTTTCTGTTTGCCTGAAGCATTTCACGAGAACCTACTTCAAATGGGGGAGGCTGGTGGGGCTCCCGCTTTTCATGGTTGTATGCGTTTGTATGAAAGCTCGACTGCCTCCAAATTGAGTGTTTGCACAGATGACTGTGGGGCATGTGAAGAAAGTGGATCTACGCCGAATTAGTTCCATCAAAGACCCTTCAGTTACCTAAAAACACCTCTGCTTAGTACTAATGAAACACTGAGGTGTAACAGCAGATAGCTATTGCCTGCGCGTGCAGCTTAAAATTTGTTAAAATACTTTAATCAAGGGAGCTGAAATGAACAAATGTGTTCAATAAACCTAGTCCTTTGCAGAGCCTTTGCAACCTCCTCTCTCTCACTCTAGTCGTGCCAATTGCATTACACGAAAGCCAAGCCTGAAGCCGCCAACTTGAAAGCAGTGGTATGATAGAGGCACTGTAAATGCCCATCACTACAATTTATTCTTGGAAAAGTGAGTGAAGCAGGTTTTACAGTTTTCCGGTGCTAAAATATTAACCGGAAAGAAGAGGTCATTGCTAAGGCTTAGCATCTTTCAGGCTAGGGAGGAAACATTGGAGAGTTTGGCCCAGTTATTCCGCTCTTTTAAATTTTAGAACATTAGCATCGGAAATGGGTTCAAATAATACTAAATGGAGAATGCGGAAACCATTTATTACTAAGCGACCAATAGTATTTGCGCTTCGAATAAATTAACCAATCAGAGATGGCGATGGGGATTTAACTGAGATAAGGAAAAAATTTAGTGAACAGATCTGTTTGGGATTCATTATTCTTCAAGCATTCCTGCATAGTGAATTCAATAACACATGCAGCCTACTTAAATGGCAGTGCGGGTTAAGAACTTCTCAAGACAATCAATTCCAGTGTCGACTTTTGGAAAGTTGGGATTCCACTATGAGAATTTCCTTAAAATACGGTGTGGAGAAAAATGAAGATAGATTTTTAGTGCCAAAGCTTTTCTTCCACGCAGTGCACAGATGTAGTAATTTTTAAATGGCAGCGGAAATTATGTTTACTGTGCCATGTGATAGGGGATATAGAAAATATGGAGAGGAGGGATGAATGGAGTTTTGATTAAATCCCTTAGTCTAGATGTCACTACAAACTCCCTAAGACCTTCATTCATTGAGTGTGATGACAATTCACCCCAATTTTGTCAACACCTTTACTAGCACCTATGCACAGGTACCTGAATTCATCGCCGTTAGCGACCAATGTGTGCTAATTCCTTGCGTTAGTTTTAAAATAGTTTGTGGTCAAAGCAAAAGGCGCATGCAAGAACAACAGCATTAGATGTAAAATACAAACTTACCTCTATCCACAGTGTCATCTCTATCCTGTAGGAAATTACGCCTCATGGAGGAATGAACTGCTACCGAAGCGGAGGGCCGGTAGTCCCAGGTATTCACAATTGATTGCGTCCTCCACCTCCGTGTTAGTCTCACAGCTTACTAATTAGTTCCACAACCTCTAATTACCTACTCTCATATTGCTTGAGCGGACCGACTTAGCTTTGCTAGCCCATCTGTGCGATTGCCAACTCTCCATTTCAGTGTACCATCTTATGACCATGATATATGTCAAGGTGATTCAGTGATGCATCCCAATCAAACGCCATGTGAAATATCACTGGCTATTTGGCCTCATCTTCTCAACAATGCATGGATGAAGGCTCAAATGACCATTTAGTTCCATTGGTACATCCTTTGGTAACTTCTCTTGCATTTTCCACTTATTTTCTTATTTACAGTTCTCTTACGCCACAAATCTTAATTCCTTAAACTAATCTTTCGATCATACAGTGAGGAAAGCATTGCAACACTTCTAGAAACTTCCAACTTTGTGGACTTTTATGGAAGGATTTTTAATTCGCTGAACTTCCCACCTCTAAATTTAAGCCTTCTTGGTGGTAAGAATTGATGAAATGGTAGCAATCAGTTACCGTCGCACGTCCCTTTTGCCTTCAATGACCGAAGTTTGAAGCTTCTTTTTCCGGGAAAAGGAGTACTTCTCTTCTCATATTCTTTCACTTTGAATAAACATACCTCCCTTCTTTGATTGGCCAATGCATTTTTGTTATTTATACCATTGGTCGTCTGGCGACCAATCGCTAGGGCAGATTTTAAACTTTGGAGTTGGGATGTTCCTGGGAAACTACACTTCTCATTTGATTATTTCTAATCTCATTTTCTGTACAGGTACTACGTGAAAGAATTTATTCTGATCCACGCATTCCAAGCTTTTATCTTTTTCGACACAAGTAAAATTCCTACGGCGTCTGACTTCTTCAATGCCTTTTAAAGACTTATCACAGTGAACATCTGACCCACCATCAGCGCGACGCTAAATCGAACAAAAGATTTTATTTGACTCAATGCACAGTAATCAGTTCGGAAATATTAACTCATGACAAGCACGTATTTGACGTTTATATTTTTTGAAGGTGGTAGGAAAACGGTTCCAATTAGGCACTCATCGTGAGATTCTTGGAGGCCATGGGCAGAAGCAGAAGTGTGTCAGTATGAGTTAGGATTACCATACCCTTTTGTCATCGCTCTTCCAAAACCCACCTTTGGAGTCGAAAAAAAAACAGGATTTAACTGTTCTGCAAACCACAACATACAAACTCGGCATTAATAGGGAGGTTTTTAGGTTAGGCAGTTTTCTCAATTCGAGCTCACAGTAAAACCAAAAGTCCGCAAAAACAGGACAACTAAAAGTCAGCCGTTCTTTCAGTCTCCATTGGCTGAATACTATGTTAAGTCGGCAACAAGGTACTGTGGGCGACCCTATCACTATTTGGAGGGCTCTCAGTCTCCA